TGGCCGCGCAGGCTCTTCTGGAAGGTCTCAAGCGCCAAATCTGGAAGGTGGAGGGGAGGGGGTGAGTGGAGGGCACTGGCCCAGGATGGCGGAGTCATGGGCCTCGCCTCCCAGCACCATGACTGCCGGGCTGGGCCTGAGGGGGTGGTCCTGGAGGTAGGGGAGGAGAAGAGGGAGACAGCAGAGGGTAGAATGGGGTGGGGGGAGGTTGGGCAGGGGATGGGGCTGCCAGGAAGGCCCTTCAGATGTTGGGTCTGATTTGTGGGAGGGAGATTTGTGAGAGCCAGATTGGTGGGGCTGGGGGAGAGGGTGTTGCATTGAAGACTGGAAGGTGTGGAGGTGTACAGGAGTGTTGTTTGTCGGGGCTGCCCAGGGTCTCACCCAGGGTCTCCGTGACCACGCCTGGGATCACCTCCTTCAGGACTTCACAGTTGGTGTGCAGGGCGGGGTTGGAGTTCATCTCCAGCAGCCACACCTGGGCCCAACACTGATCAGTAACCCTCCGCACCCTGCCCACCCAGAACCCACTTGGCCAACAAGGAGGCTGGGGTCCTGGTCCCCATTATGCCAGTGAACGCTGGCAGATCGCTTCTGTGACCTCTGTCCCAAGGAGCTGAGGGTCTGAGAATCTGGCCCTGGAGGTTGCTCTGAGGAGGGTGTTGCAGATATTTGAACCTCATGGACACACCTACCACCTAGGGCTGGGCGCAGGCACAGTGGGACCTGACTGCAGAGTCCATCCCAGGGGTTTGCCTGTGTGTGCAGGGTGTGCAGATGGCCCCCACCTCTCTGCACCTGCGATTGGGCCCCACCCATCCAGAACATCACCTTGAAGTTCTCATCAATCAGGAAGTCACAGCCAATGAGGTCGAAGTAACCCAGTTTGCAGTCGAGCTTGGATTTGACAGCGAGAAAGCAGTGGGCCATAATCTGCTGCATCCGCTTCTGTGAGAGAGGCAGGGAGGGCATTCTGGCTGTCACCTGTAGGCCCTGGTAATTCTCCCAGGCTTGAAGGGCCACAATTGCCCATCTCACCTGCATTCCCACACATGTCCACACTTTCTCACTCTCAGACTCACTACTGCATGGCAGGGACACACTAATGAAGAAAACTTAGAAGAAATCTTTGAATTTGAGAAGCTCACTCAAATCAGAAAAGACAGATGACAAATAGGATATGTAAAATCTTGAATCTTGGTAAGAACAAGTTTTGTTGTTCAGTTTGCCAGAAGACACATATGCTTGACAGAGACAGAGAGGAGAAGGAGACAGCACACCCCAATAGGGGAGGGTCACACTGCAATCCCTTCTCCTCCATTTCTGCACCCTGTTGGAATTTGGGGCATGCGTGCACATACTTGCTGTGTTTTCAAGCCATGGGGCCAGGATTGGAACTACACAATAGGCCATGTGGGATCTGTCTTAATCACCAGGCAATGGTGCTGGTCCAAGCTTTATAATATTTTAACTCGCCCTAGTTATTTTCATCTCCTGCTTCTAGTCCAGTGGTAGCATTGAAAAAAAATAGCAGCCTGCATTCACAGTACTGGAGATAGCAAAAAGAACTCATTTACAAAGAACTGTAATTGTTGAGGCCAGCAGGTGACGTGTTAAGGCACTGGACTCCCACATGGCCAACTGTGGTTTGAATCCCAGATTCAGGCTCTTAAAAATGGCACCAGGCATGTGTTCATGAATACTCAAAAAATCTCAAGAGGACGGGACCAGCAGTTGGCCTAATGGGTATGTCTCTGGACTCCCATGTAGTCGACCGCAGTTTGAGTCCTGGACCTGGTGGCTTAAACTCATGCCGGGCATGTGTGTGTGCGTGCCTAAGATCCCAAGAGGATAATGGATGAGAAGGGGTTGCTGCATGGCCATCCCCCTGGAGGGTGATTTTTCATTTTCTATCTCTCTGGCCAAGGGCATGTGCCCTATGACAAAAACCTAAAAAAAGTAATTATAATTGTTATTGTTCCTTGGGAGACACCACTTAAAAGTACTAAAAGAAAGTATGAAGACAATGTCTTACCAATATCAATGAAGAACTAGAAATTATAAAACAGAACCGGGACCAGCAGTTGGCATAAAGGCTATGTTGCTGGACTCCCACGTAGTCGACCATGGTTCCAGTCCCAGACCTGATGGCTTAAACTCATGCCAGGTGCATGTGCGTGCGTGCCCAAGGTCCCGAGAGGAGAATGGAGAAGAGATTGTGGCGTGGCCATCCCCCCTGGGGGGTGATTTCTTGCTTTCTGTCTTTCTGTCTCTCTGGTGAGCGCATGTGCCCTATAGCAAAAAAAAAAAAAAAAAAAAAAAAGTCTAATGAACTCCAAGTGTGACAAATTCAGAGATCCACCATCACATAATAAGCAAACATTTTCTTTCTTTTTTTTTTTTTTGAGAGGTTTTTGCTATAGGGGGCATGTGCTGCTATAGGGCACATGTGCTCACCAGAGAGACAGAGAGAGACAGAGAGACAGAAATTAAGAAATCACCCCCCAGGGGGGATGGCCACGCTGCAATCCTTTCTCCTCCATTTTCCTCTCAGGATCTTGGACATGCACGCACATGCGCCCAGCGTGAGTTTAAGCCACCAGGTCCCGGATGTGAACCACGGTCGACTACATGGGAGTCCAGCGACATAACCATTATGCTAATTGCTGGTCCCTTTCTTTTCTTTTTTTGTAAATTGTCAGAGGGCATGTATATTTGCCAGAGAGAGAGATGGAGGGGTTGAGGGGGTGAAAGAAAGAATTCTCTAGTGGGGTGTGGTCATGCCACAATCCCTTCCTCTCTGTTTCTTCAGGATTTAGGGCATGCAAACACATATGCCTGGCATGTTTGTCAAGCCTTCAGAGCCAGGATTTGAACTGTGGTTAGCCATATGGAATCCAGTTCCCTTAACCACTAGTTTATGAGACCAGCCCTCTATAATTGATTTCTCATTTCAATCTATTATGACAGAGAATATACTTCATAATTTTAACCCTTTAAAAGTTATTAAGACTTGTTTTATGTTCTAGCATATGATCTGTCCTGGAGAAAGTTTATGCACACTTGAGAAAAATGTGTATCTTGCTATTGTTGGGTGGAGTGTTCTTTTATTTTTTCTTCAATTTTCTAGAGAGTGTATGTGCTTGCCAGAGGTAGAAAGAGAAAAAGTATCCCTTAAGGGGGATGACCACAACACAATCCCTTCTCCATTTTTTTGAGACTTATTTATTTCATTTCGGTTATTATTATTTTTTAATTTGATCAGAGAGAGACAGAGAGAAAGGCAAAGTAAGAACGCAAGCTGCCATGTCCAGGACTCAAACCACAGTCAACCATATGGGAGTCCAGCACCTTAACCACCATGCCACCTGCCAACCCCCTTCATTTTTATCTCAAGATTTTGGGTATGCATGTACATATTCCCAGCCTCTTTTTCAAGCCACTGGGTCAGGACTTGAACTACACAGTGGACCATGTAGGATCCAGCCATCTTAACCACTATGCCACGGGCTGGCCCAAGTTTTTTTTATGTATTCTGCCAATCTCCATTTTTCAATTGGACAATTCAATCTATTTACATTTAATATAATTGCTGATAAGGTGGGATTTACACCTGCTATTTTGCTATTTCTTTTCAATATATAAATGACTATATATTATCACCAAGTGGGATTAATCCCAGATACCAAGATTGGTTCAACATATGAAAGTTAACCGATACAATGCAACACATTACTATACCAAATGAAAAGTAACATATTCATTATCTCGACTGATGCAGAGAAAGCATTTAACAACATTCAACATCCTCCCATTAAAAAATGTTTTTAAAAACAAAAAATAAACAAATCCATTATTTTCCCCATCAAATCAGGAACAAGGATGCCTGTGTTTGTCACTTCTAGTCAACATTTTACTAGAAATTCTAGCTGGAGCAATTAGGCAAGAAAATAAATTTGGATCCAAATTTGAAAGGAAGAAGTAAAACTGTCCTGTAATAAAAATCCTAAAGAATCCACAAACACAAATAGACGAATACATTTTAGTAGTTATAGAACTCAAGATCAACACAACAAACATGTTTTATTTTCATACACTGGAAATGGCCAGTCCAAAAATAAAATTAAGAAAATAGGAGGCTAGGGCCAGCAGATGGTGTAATGGTTATGTTGCTAGACTCCCATGTAGTCGACTTCAGTTCAAGTCCCAGACCCAAAATTCACGCTGGGTGGGGACCAGCAGATAGTATTATGGTTACGTCTCTGGACTCCATGGAGCTGACCATGGTTCAAGTCTCAGACTTGATGGCTTAAAACTCACACTGGGTGTGTGCATGTGTATGCCCAAACTCCTGAGAGGTAATTGGAGGAGAAGGGGTTGAGGCATGGCCATCCCCTGTGGGGGTGATTTCTCACTTTTTGTCTCTCTGTTTTTCTGTTTCTCCAGCGAGTGCACATACCCTATAGCAAAATATCTTTAAAAAAATATAAGTAAAATAGGAGGCCAGCCAGTGGTGTGGTGGTTGAGGTGGCTGGATGCTACATAGCCAACTGGGCAGTTTGAATCCTGGAGTTGCCAGCTTGAAAAACATGCCAGGTATATGTGCACATGCCCTGGAAGGAGAACGGAACGGATTATGGCATGGACACTCCCTGCGCTGCTTCCTTTCTCTCTCTCTAGAGTGTATGCCATCCATGCAGTATGGCAAAATAAATATTTATATTATCATCCAAAAGAGTAAAATACCCTAGAATAATGTTTACCAAGGAATTGCATGATTTGTTGACTAAAAAACATTGCTGAAAAAAATTAAAAACCTGGAAAAATGAGAAGACATGTCTCATGTTCATGGATTGGAAGACTAAATATTGTTAAGATGTCAGTAATACCCAAAGTGATCTACAGAGTCAGTGAAATCCCTAATAAAATTCAAATGGACTTTTTCCTCCCCAGAAATGGGAAAGCCGGGAACCAGCAGTTAGCATAATGGCTATGTTGCTGGACTCCCACGTAGTCGACCGCGGTTCACGTCCCAGACCCAGTGGCTTAGAACTCACGCCGGGAGCGTGTGCGTGCATACCCAAGATCCCGAGAGGAGAATGGAGGAGAAGGGATTGCGGTGTGACCATCCCCCCTGGGTGATTTCTCACTTGCTGTCTTTATGTCTCTCTCTGTCTGTCTGGCTAGCGCACACGCCCTATAGCGAAAAAAAGAAAAAAAAAAACTCTCAAAAAAAAGAAAGAAATGGGAAAGCCAATCCTAAAATTCATATTGACTTTTGAAGGGTCCTGAATAGTCTAAACAATCTTTTATTTTTTTATTTTTAAGGAATTATTTAATTAAATTTAATTAATTATTTTTTATCTTAATTTTATTTATTATTAGGTTTTTTAATTTGCTGTAGGGCACGTGTGCTCACCAACAAGAGACCAAGAGAGAGAGGGACAGAGAAAGTGAGAAAGTGAGAAAGCAAGCTACCAGGCCCAGGACTCAACGTGGTTGACCATGTGGGAGTCCAGAGCTTTAACCATTTCGCCACCTACTGGCCCCTAGTCTTTAATTTTTTTAATTGCCAGAGAGGTCGTGCAATGTGGTCCAGGGGGAAAAGTCATGAAGCCACACAAGGAATGAAGCGATGGTGTATATGCTGCAATGTGGATGAACCCTGAAATATTACACTGAGCGAAAGAAGTCAGGGTGATTATGACTCCATGTATATGAAATGCTGGGATGAGAAAATCCAAAAAGATAAGAGAGTCATTTAATGGTTGCCAGGAATTGAGGGGAGGGTATTTGAGGAGGGAAGGCTAATGGGTACCGGGTTTCTTTTAGCGGGTGATGAAGATGTACAGGAATTAGTGGTGTTAATTGCACAACTTTGTGAATATACTGAAATCGCCAAACTGTACACTGTACACTGTGAATCTTGGGGTCAGCAAGTGGCGTGGTGGTTGAGGCGCTGGACTCCCACATGGCTGACTGTGGTTGGAGTCCCGGGCCTGGCAGCTTGAAAATCACACTGACTGTAGGTGTGTGTGTATGTGTGTGTGTGTGTGTGTGTGTTTGTGGGTGTGCATACACGCGCCCTTATGGAAAAAAAACTTTAAAAATATGAATATTATATGAATTATTTCAATTTAGAGACAGAAAATGAGAGAGGAGAGTAATTGGAGACACCTCAAAGTGGCCGACATCCACAATCCAGTTACAGACTGTCTTAGGAGTAATGGAGGACAATAGTTGATTGGGGCCCAGGCCCAGCCAGAGCAGACCAAGATAGATAAGAAGTCCCTCTGCAGAGCTGTTTTAGCCCCTGCTCTGTGCCAAACTGCTCAACTGCCCTTGTTGCCAGAGCCATTTTAAGTACTCAGTGGAAAGTAACTCCTTGAAATGAGGACACCCCACCCAAATGACCCTCAAATGTGAGACATTCCCTGTGTGCGTACGGTCGCTGTGGTTACAAGGGACCTGAGAGACAGGATTGCTATCTATCCCTCTCTGGTTGCCCTGCGTAGTTTGAGGGTCTGTAAGTAATCGAGGCTCTTAAACTTTCTCATTGTGGTTGTGTCACTGAAGCCATGATGCTATCTGACCCTTGACAGGAAGCTCATCCTAGAGGGACCCTCTGGTGGCTGCTGGGGACAGTAGCTACCTGCTAAGTTAATAGAGAAACCCAAAGAGTTTTGTTTGAAACACTCACATAGACACCTGCTTTAGTGCAGTTGCACACATACTCCAAGGATGTCTGATGTACCTTATGCCCAGCCTGGTGCAGGAGGAAACACACACACACACACACACACACACACCACACTGTGTCCTCTTTAAGCAGCACGTACAGGGGGCTCTTCTTCTGCATGAACTGGGAGGGGCAAATGCAGCACCTAGAGACTACCACCCCAGAATGCCCAGAGGTCTTGACCTCACTGAGGGCCCCCTAAGGAGAGTCTCACCCTAGTCTAGCTACTCCACAGGCAGGCGCTTTGCTCCTCTGCAGTGACCCGCCTTCAGAGATCCTCCTGCAAACATCTTCATCCACTGAGACACCCTCAGCGATCAAGCCCTCTATGGGTTCTCACAGAAGGCACCATGTCCTGCACTCTCCCCAGAGACCTCTGCCCACAGGAGCACTCCCACTGAGGACCTGACAGGCACCACTCAGTTCCTTCCCCCACCCATACCCCATCCTCAGCATACCCTCAGCCAGGCTGGAGGTTGAGGGCTGCAGGGCTCTGAGTCATTTCATCAGGACACATGGGCCCTCATTGTGGCCAAAGGTGGGAGGTAAGAGGTAGAGGCAATGCTGGTGGCAGGTGGGGGCAGCCCAAGCCACTTCCGAGTCTGGGCCATGTCTGTAGTTAGAGTCTCTGTTTCCAAGCAGGGAGAGCCTTCCTCTAATCTCAGTCCAAGTCTGCAAAGAACACCCTTGCCTGTGGGGAGTGTCCTTACCTGGTTGGTCAAGTGGCCACTGAGGTCTCTGGAATGGGGGTCGTAGAGGCTGAGGGTGAGGCGGGCATAACCGTGGCCAAAGAAGACCATGTAGGGCACGGTGCAGGCGATGAGCAGGTAAGAGCGCACGTCAAACTTCTTCCCATCCAGCAGCAGTGGGTTCTGGATGTACCTGGGGGCATCGTGCGGGGGCTGCTGGACTGAGCAGCAGGGTCAGCCTGGCCTGCATCATCTTCCCACACACCTGGGTCTGGGCTATTTCCTCAGTGCCCTTGTCCCAGGGTGACCTCTACTGAGAACAGTGTCCATGGTAAGGGAACGTTCTGAGTCTGAACAGACTAGGGCACGTGGGGAGAAGGTCTGGCTCTTAGTCTCACTTCACTGTATTGTCTGGGTGTCCCAGGGTGTCTTTCCCCCCAGAAACCTAAACGGTAGGGGCAGACTGGGCCTTCTGTTAGAGAGGGCTGCCTGGTAGAGGAAAGAGGGTTGACATTGGACCAGAATTGGCTTTGGTGAGGGCGGGAGTGAACATTCCAGGTGGAGGGACCTGCAGGCTTAAAGACCAGAGTAGGGAGAAGCCAACAGAGGAGGGTTGGTCAGAGCGAGGGTCCACGCTGACTGATGCCAGACTGAGCTCCCCTTGCTCAGCTCCCAAATGAGCCTTGGGGAATTCTTTTTTTTTTTTTTTTTTTTTAAAGAGAGGGCTTTTTGCTAATTGGCATGCC